AGGAGAGAGCTAGATAGGGTCCTGACCCCCAGTGGGCCAATAGTGCCCCCACCCATTCATCAGCCAAACGGTCCTTCCCTCTCAGCACTGCTAGGCCTGGTCCCAGCTAGCCACACCTGCCTGGCCCTGCAGCCACTGTTCTTGCAAAGCAGAAGTCCATCAAGAAGGCTGCTGGGTAGCCAGAAGGAACTTAGTGGCTGCAGGGTGTGGGGACTGTCCTTGCAAGAGGCTGCAACCTTACGGCCCCGGCTTCTGACCTGCCCCTGGCAGCACTGATGACCCCAGAGCTTGGACCATTCCAGCTGAAGCTGGGCCTGGACCTCAGGCTACAGAGAGTGTGAAAAAGGGAAGAGGGCAGATGGGAGGTGTAAACCAGAAAGTCCCCAGAAGGGGTGTGGGGGGAGGTAGATGACTCAGATGCAGAGGGGAAGTGGCAGGAAAGGAGAAGGGGCCCATTGTTGGGAATCCTCTCTCCCTGTGGTGTGAGGCACCCCAACGCCCACTAAGCTAGGCTCTGGCTTCTCTGCAAACCCCTACCCCTGTAGCCTTCTGGATCTGGGCTCAGGACCTTGGCCAAGTAACTCAACCTTGGAGGCCTGAGGTCTAAACTGACCCCTAAGTAATATAAGTGAGTTCCCTTGGGACTCTCTGGGAAGGACAGGGCCCTAGGACACCACCCACAGGAGGCTGCAGTCTTTCCACATGGTAGAGCTACAGAAGCTCTCCACTCCTGGCCCTTTGGACTCACCACCGAAGACCTCCAGTAGACTGGAAGGTTCTATGAGGCCTTCCAGTTGGAATTTGCACATGCAAAAACTTAGCGTGCCTTCTAAGACCACCCACGACCGTAACAGTCCCCAGACCATATCTGTGCTGGTTCTGGTTTACCATACTCAATTCTTAGTGCTTTGCCAGATAGGTCCTACGGCCCCAGAGAAACTGAGGCTCAGAAGCCCAGTACCCTGCCCAGAGCGACCCAGCTGAGTGGCAAGGACCTGTGTGTGTCCCAGTTCTGCGTCACTCTGAGGGCTGCTGTTTGCCCTTCCCTTTTCTTCTGCCACCTGCCTTCCACGTAATTAAGTGATAATGAATTCATTTCTCTATTTTTGTTGTTTATCAAAGCAATATGTAGCTGTCAATCAGAGCGTCTGTTGGGCAAGAGCAAAGAGGCTTATGGGCTGAATCCCTGTCATTCTGGCCCAAAGCAAAGGATGGCTGCCAGCCTAGCAGCCTGGTAGCTCTGTTGGGGGGAAGTGGAGGCAGCCAGAGGCTCATTTCAAGCTGCCTCAATGTTAGAGCTGATGACCGCCACCAGGGCCAGGGCATATGCTGAACTTGGGATTGTGATGACAGTATCTTAGTAAGTACCGCTTCTGTGCCAAGGACGTGGTTGAGCACTTGAGAGCGCCATTGGGATGAGGAAAGAGGCTCAGGAAGGGTTAAGTCATGTGCTCTAGGTCCACATGTGTCTAGATCGCAGCCACCAGCCAGGGGAGCTGCAGGCTGTCAACCAGGAAGAGAAGCGAGAGAAGGCAGGTGTGATGAAAAGCTCCGGCCAGGAGGAAGGGGAACCCTGATGCAAGAGGTCATGAGATGAAGTGGGGGGGGAGGAGGCTGGGCAGAGGGATAGGGCCTTGCCGGCCAGGCAGGACAAGGAACTAGGGCACCTTCCTCAGATTCCACAGCAGAGTCACAATTACGAGGCTGCCTGCCTTCCAGGCAGGTGTTGGCTTACAGAGAACCCTCCAGAGCTCTCCCTAGGCTGTTGTCCGCTCAGGGGTAGCCATTCCTGAAATTCTGTGGGTTTGTCCCATACCTTTTTGCCTCGAAAGCTTCTAGAAACAACTCTGGATGAGTGGGCAGAGAGAGAGGAGGGGGTGGGGGAGACAGAGCGAGAGGATGGATATAGCCTGAGGCTATGGAGGTGGGGTGCACAGGTTCTAAGAAGCAGAGCCTCTATGCTTGGCAGCACATGTCATCTCTAAGCCCTACCTTCAGAAAAACCCATGATCCTGAGCAGACCACTTCTCCCTTCCGAGTCTTAGTTTTCCCATCTGTAAAATGGGGAGAGGGGCTGGAGTCAGCTGGCAGTGTGGTGGACGGCAGAGCCTGCTGTTTCCTCCCTTTCTCCCTCTACCACTGTCCTAGGGCTGCATCTGCTCGCCCACAGTGAATGGGTGGACCAGAAGATGGCACAGTTGTTCTGATGAATACCGAGGCTCAAGACCCCACAGCAGTAAGGCTAGAACATAAGTATCTTTGAGAATCAACACACACTGCCTATCCCTCTTGCACTAGGGTAGACTGAGGTCCAGGGCCGACACCTCCTTAGCTGTGGCTACCAAAGAAAAGCTCCACTTCCCAGGGGCACTGGCTCCTCTCCTCCCTGCCTCCTGCTCTCAACAGAGTCCTGGCTGCAATCCTGGGACCTGCTGGGCCCCAGGAGGCAGCAACCACTTGCACAGTGGGAGCAGAACAAGTGTTTTGTGCTCCCAGTGGCCGTCTGTGGTGGTTCCCAGCCGGGACTCGGCTGGGCTGGGCTCAGCGGGCACAGTGAGGCCTTGTTTCCCTGAAAACAACATTAGCAGCTTTGTACCCCAGCCAGGGACTCTGGCGAGTGGCACTTCCTTCCCCTGAGGTCCAGATTTCTGGCCCCTTCCTGCCCTGTCACCACACCACAGCAAGCAAGTGGTAGCTCTAAGGGGTTCACAAAAGTTACTTCTCCATCAAACTTGTTCCCCCCCAAAACAGCTCGTGCTCTTTGTAAGCACATTCTCCCCACTGGTCCCCACAAAGTTATTTCTCCCAAGCTTGTTCTTTAGGGGTATCTGGGTTCCCCAAAACACTGCCATGGTTTGGGGGATAAGACCACCACAGACACACAAGAGAAGGGTGACCTGAGGAGAAGGGTAAATGGGCTGATGGTGGCCGCACAGGGGAAAGGGGTGCGGGGGTATGTTTTGAGACAGTGACATGGGTGTCTATGATAGAGAACACTGAAGAGAAGAGCATGGCAGGGAGGAGGGGAACCAGTGCTCCTGGGAGGTAGAGCTGGCTTGTCTTTGGCAGCCACGGCCAGGAGGTATCGTCCTTCAGCCTCAGTCTGCCTGAGTGCAAGAGAGATAGGTGGTGTATGTTGAGAAGGGAAGACCATGGCTTTTGGAGCTACGGGTCTGAGTTCAAATCCTGATCCTACCATTTTGTAGCTGTGAAGTCTTGGCATGTAACTTTAGTGGTCTGTAGCCAGACACTATCTGTGCAAGAGAGATGAAACAACCCTTGGTCATGGGGTTGGTAGGCGGCATGGCTGAGCTCCTTATCAACCCTGTCACTTCAGAGATCTATGACACGTGTGAATACCCTCTGGACTACCCCACAGGGCAGCTCTACCTGGAAGTGACAGCTGCCTGAGGGTTCAAAAGCAAGGAATGTGGATTCCCGCTCTCCTGGCCTTATCAGCCAATGGAGACTGAAGCAGGGGTGTCCTCTAGCCCTTTAACCTTCATGTAGAGGTTTGGGGTGGCATTACAGCATGGGGCTTCTAGTCACCCCAGGCTGGGAAGCAAACCCTCTTCCTGTGTGAGGACTAGCTGTGGGTGTGGAGAAGTGAGAAGTGGGAAGAGCCTGTCTTATCCTTGCAGGTAGGGAACGCCCCTTTCCTGGCTCCTAGCTGGGTGTCTTGGCACTGTCAGCTGGGTGTGGCCGGGGCTGCCAGTCCTTTACCTGCCCACTGCTTTCTGTTTTGGGACTCTCTGCATACCTCACCCTGAACTCAGCTTTAGTGGGTTTTGCCCCATCTGAGATGCACTCCAGCCCAGTAACTATAGGACCGACTGTTCCCTTTCTAGGAACCATAGGTGGCGTGACAGGAAGTAGGGATGACTGTCAATATGGAGGGGCATTGGCACCATCCCTACCCCCTGGGGTACTTTCTTTTCCCCCACCTCCATACTGCTTGATTTTGTGGGGTGTGGAATGGCTGAGCTCAAACACTCTTCTAACCTGTAAGGGTACAGCTTGGGATCATAGGAACCGGAGCCTAGGTGTGGGAGTCCCTAGGCAGGACACATAGCAAGGGGCCTCTTTTTCTGCCTGAAGAGAGTATGGGCACCAGAGACTGTATGGAAGGGGGGGGTGTTGCTGGGAAGAGGGCAGCCTCTTCAGGGGAGTCACCACTGCACAGTCGCTGAGCTGGGTAGGAGGAGCAGGGTCAAGCACCCACAGTGTATGGAGGAAGTCTAAGGCCCGAGGGGAGTCTGCCCTGAAGGGATGACAGGGGAGTTACATGTTTGTAGACTGGGGGACAGGGAGAGAGGAGCCCTTTCCTAGCAAGACCACTTGAGTGTGACGGAAATGGGACCTGGCCAGCAGGGTGGAAAGGGCTGAAGGGTTTTACCACAGAATAATTGGTGTGTGTGTGTGTGTGTGTGTGTGTGTGTGTGTGTGTGTGTGAGCGCGCACGACCCAACCTAAAACTAAAGGGACCAGAGCTAAACAGAAGAAATTAAAGGACCCGACTAAAAGACATATATATGCCTGGCACGGGTGCTGGGAATGCCCCCACCCCCTTGAGAGGCGCTAGGGGTGCCTTACTGCAGTGGGGGTAGGGAGTCCCGTAGGTGGGACAGGAGAGGAAGGTGTGTGTGGGTGTGGGGTGGTAGGTAACATTAATAGTGAGGGGAGTCGGCACCCTGTGTGGTGGTGGGGACTCGCTGGGGACCTGTAATTGTCTAGAAGGAACCTCAGGTGCTTCCAACCCAAGTGGGGTATCTGAGGGCAGCACCATGGGGGAGGTCACGTGCCAGGGCCAGGAGGGGGAGGTCCCCAGACCCACTTGCGCTGGTGGGTCTGGTCTGGAAGCCTCGTGGCCCTCTGGAAGGGGCAGCAGAGTTCTCCGCCCTGGTGAGTCAGGGTCCTGGGGGAGCCTGGCTGGGGTTACTGGCGGTTCGGGCCCGAGGCTGGGTCTAGGGTGGCGGAGAACGGGGTGCGAGGGTACTCACTGTTTGAACATCTTCTCCATGTCTTTGATCTGCTTCCTGGAGAACTCCTTGAACTCCGTGTAGGGGTTGAAGAGGG